TACGGGGGCATCGTTTCCAAGCGGCGCAGGGAGGACCAGCCCGCCCGCTCGCCACGGCAGCCTGTGGCAGTGTGTTGTGTGGCGAGGTGGTGGGCTGGGCAGGCAGCAGGCAGCGGAGCAGCGCGGACGCTCGCTTACGCCCTAGCGTTCCGCCCATGCACTTTTCATTTGTGCTGCGGCTGCCCTGGTGCGACCACCGCTGCGCAGCTGTGGCGGTACTGCTGTACTGCACTGTACTGCACCGTACTGCGCTCACTCATGTTCTGTGCCATGGTGGCGATGCCTCGAGAGAATAGGGTGATGAGGATGGCCTTAGCGTGCTTGCCCTGGGGGCTGCCCCGCAGCCTGAGCAGCTCATCCAGGTCATGCACCCCAGCATACGGCAGTGCTTTGGTGCGCGGCGGCAGCAGCCACGGCGCCGCCACAAACTCCCCCGCCACAGCCTCGTCGCTCTCAGGCAGGCCGGGGTTGGCCTGCGGCGCGGCGGGCACAGGAGAGGCGGGTGGCGGGCGGCAAAGGGTGAGTTTGCTGGTAGCTCCAGCCAGCAGGCACGCAGGCTGCGAACAGGAGCTATCTGGGCTGTCGCATTCAATGAACCCGGCTGCCAGGCCAAACAGCACATACAAACAGCTGCCTCCACACCCCCACTCACCTCCACCTTCTCAAACGTCTCCCGGCTGGGGTGCTGCATGGGGATGGTGCCAGCCGGCAGCTTCCCTGCGCCACACAGCTCCCTTTTCCTTGTGAGAAGAAGGTTGGCACCTACCCAGCCAGGGACCACACTCCTGACAGTGGTACACCGAGCCGGGAAGCGCGAGAAGCTGCTGGCGGGCGGCACATCCCAGCACAGCAAGCACCGCACCTGGCCGCGGCGTGGCATACAAGCCGCCTTCGTCAGAGCTGTCGGGTGCTGCCTCGCATGGCGGGTGCACCAGGGCCGACTGATACGAGAGGGCGGCCCTGCAGGCAGTTGGCAAGGGCAGCGGAATGGGCCGAGCGTCTGCTGTGTGCGTGGCGGTGGGAAGGCGGCCGGCGCGACATCCCGTGGCAGCTCAGCATGTCTTCGCATCCAACATGGGGACCATTTTATCTCCAGCAAGCAGCAGCACATACAGCGGCGGAGAGCGCGGGCAGTGAAACCCAGAGGCGCAGCCCCGAGCTCACCAGCCATAGTCCGGGCTGGACAGCGCGAAGACAAACGCAAAGAGCACGAGCAGAACCGCAGCGCCGCGCACCGACCATAGCGCCAGGCCGGCCCGGGGCGCAGGCTGCCTTGCAAACGGAGGCATTCAGGGGCGGCACATGAGGGGCGATGGGCCAAACATAAACTGATGGCGATCGCCGCGATTGGCGCGCAACACCCCATAAACATGGGGCTGCCTGGGCGGGGCGGAGTGCGTGAGGTGTCGCCACGCACACCAGGACATGCACAATATTTCCGAATTTCTCAGCTGCGGACGAAAGACTCCGCATCAAACTCCTACAAATCATCCAACATATACCAATAAAAAAAACAAAGAACTAGCATGCTTAGGGAACTGGAATTGTGCATGCATCGAGTCGTCCTCTCTCTGGCCGCATGGCCTCTCCCCGGAGTGCGAAGCCAGCTGCTCTCGAATCTGCTGCGCGCGGTGCGCCTCCAGCGCCGCTGAAGGCGGCACTACGCACGCCTGGCAGCCGGCAGCGTCTGCAGAAGGCCCTCAGGTGCCGCTGCGGCGGCAGCCTCATCTGGCTGCTGGCAGTCGCGTGTCGAGCAGGCGGCCCACCGCCGGGGCATGCAACTGCCGCTCTGCGCCTGTCTCTCCATCCACTCCTCCTGCCGCCGCTCCTCCTGTCAACGCCGCACCCGCTCCTGCACCCAGTCCGCCTGCCGGGCTGCCGGGCTGCCACAACCCAGTGCAGTGGATTTTGAGCACGGGGCATTGCCTGCGGTGGCAGGGCATTGGGCAGGAGCTGTGCGGTATGTGGGTGGCGCGGCGGTTGGCGGCGGCCTGCTTCGGTGCTGGCGGCCGGTGCATGCACGATGCAGCGGTGCGTTCAGGGAGTGGCCTGGATGGCAAGCGTGGCGAGGGTCGCCATGCGTGTGGGAGGCGCAGCTGCAGGCAGTGCTGCGTGCCAGCATGCCTCCAGCCCATGGGCGGTGCGGCGGGCACAGACAGGGGCGGCTGGGCATGCACCAGGCGTATCCCCCACCCCCAGATCCCCCTCCCCCATCCCTGCATCGCTGCCAGCATGCGCCGCCGCTGCCTCCGCACTAGTGCTGTGCACCCCTTCTTTCTTTACACAGCGTATGCCTTTACACAGCACGTGCAAGCCAGCCGAGCAGCTGGTATCCATGGCGGGAGCCCACACTCAACAGGCAGGCAGGGGCTGGGGCTGGGGCAAGGAGGCGGGGAGGCACGCGGCGGCGGCGCCGCCCCGATGGCCGACTGCCACCACTCGCCGCCATGGCTGCACCCGGCTCTTCTCCCCAGCGGCACACCGGCGCCGCCGCCGCCAGGCGGGCGCACACCGCGCGTGAGAGGAGAACTGTTCGCCTCACTTTCCTGCCGTTGCCGCCGCCACCTTACTTGCCGCCGCCGCCAAACAGGTTTGAGAAGAGCTGGGCGGCGTAGCGCGGGGCTTCCAGCTCCAGCGGCGCCATGAACCCCACCAGCTTGTCGTGCACGTGGTACCGCAGCTTCCTCCCCTTGGACGCACGCCGGTCAACCGCCTTGCGCCGCTTGGGGCCCTGCCGCGGGGAAGAAAGCAGCGACGCACAGGGCGGTGGGCAGGCAGGCAGGCGGGGCGGAGGCGGCAGGTCGGGCATTGGGGCAGCTTGGAAGAAGTGCTGATGCCATGCCTGATCGCTGCCCCATAAAACGGCCGCCAGCGCATGTGTGTGTGCGCGGCGCGGGCGGGGCTCGGCAGCCCGTGCCAGGCGCGCAGCACGCCCAGCGCAGCTCCGCAGGCGGCGGCACGGGCGGCGGTGCGCGGACAGGCGGGTGCGGGCGGGCGGCGGCGAAGAGGCGGGGGCAGGGCTGCAGGCTGGCGGCGGCGGCGGCGCACCGTGTGCCACAGGGCGGCGGCGCCGCCTTCCGAAGAGCTCTCCAGAAACTCCCGAAGCAGGGCCTGATAAAACTCTGCAGCAGACCATACCACAGCATGGCAGAAGGGGGGGTGGTATAACGTTGGCGGCATGGGGCCAGGGCAGGCGGGGCGGACGCACAAGCACGAGCGCCCCGGGCCCAGGCCAGCGCCGGCCGGGGCGGACGCCTGGCCTCCCCCTGCCCGCGGGGAGAAAGGCAGGCAGGCAGGCAGCGGGCATGTGGCCTGCCCGCGGGACAAAGGACGAGGGGCCAACAGGGAGGCAGCAGGCATGCTGAACTCTTCCTGAGGCCCCGGCACCCCCTCGGAAAGCCTCTCACCCGCATCGTCAAATGTCTCGGGGTCCCGCTCCTCTCCGCCCGCCTCCTCCCTCTCCCCCACCTCCAAGCCGTTGGCTGCCCCCGGGCCACCGTCCTGCACACACACAGGGCAGGGGGCAGGGGGCAGGGGGCAGGCGGGGCCGGTGGGAGGAGGCGGCAGGCAGACGGGTCGGCACACACACCAAACAGAGGGGGCCATCGCAAAGGCCGGCCGGCACGCCTTCTCGTGCATTCTCGACCAGCCACCCACACCCACGCCACACCACACTGGTGCCCATACGCCCAACCAAATGCACCCCACGCTGTTTTATTTCTTCCCTGTTTTCTCCGTCTTTCCTCCCTCACCTCCTCGCCGCCCGCGCGCCGCCGCTTGGCGGTGGGGGCCTCGGGGTCGGGGCATAGCACCCGCAGGTGCGGCGCCTGCTGCGCCGCGCGCGGCAGCCGCGTCCGCCGCACCACCTTGCCAGCATCCTGCAGCGGCGGCGGGGGCAGGGGGAGAGAGGCAGGGGAGGCGCTTGGATGCGCCGCGGCGGCGGGCGGGGGCGGCAGGCGGGCAGGTGGGCTCGGGCCGGCACCTCGAGGGTGGAAAGCAGAGGCAGGCGGCAGGTATGCGGCAGGCATGCGGCAGCTGTCCCCTGTAGCTGCAGCCAGCCTATAGCTCCAGCCAGACCGCCTGCCAGCGCCACACGGTGCCGCCGCCGGCCGGCCGGCGCGCGCCGCTGGGGCAAGCGAGTCCCGGGCAAGGGGAGCGGGGGCGAGGAGGAAAGAAAGCGAGGAAGAAAGGAAGAAAGGATGGGAAAAGGAGGAAAGCGCCCACCTGAATTAGCAGCGCCACCTGTGTGCTCACACCCTGGTTGAGCGCCCGCAGCTGCCCCGCACGCAGCGAGGCGCCACCTGCGGCAGGGCAGGCGCGGGCGGCGGCGGGCGGTCAGGCGGCGCGGGCGTCAGCGGCGCGGGCGCCGGCGCAGCCAGAGTGAGGCAGGGGCGCAAGCAGGCGGCGGCGCAGCCAGCAGCCTCGGGCGGAGGAGAGCAGGGAGTGGCTGCCAGGGGCAGGAGGAGAGCAGAGAGCAGGTGTTGGGTCAAGCCGCCCCGACGCCGGCACAATATTCGCGATGCAAACAGAGGAATGGCTCAGTGTCAGGGTGTGGGGCCGCGGGCACGCCGCACCCGTTGTCAGCAGCGTCTTGCGGTGCCAGCGGTCGAGCGAGGCGTCGCGGAAGGGCGCCACGGCGATATACGCCGCCTCCACCTCCCGCCACAGCCCCTCGCGCCCCTCCCCTCCCTCCTCCTCCTCCTCCCGCTGCTCCTGCTGCTTATGGCCGGCCCCACCGCGCTGAGCCCCAGAGGAGGCTGCTCCTGCTGCCGCCGCTGCCACTGCTGCGGGACCTCTCGCCGCTGCTCCTGCCACTGCTGCTGCCGCCGCCACAGCCGGATTCTGGGCCGCCAGCTGCCCCAGCAGCGCCAGCAGGTCTCGAACCAGTGCCGAAGCATCCTTGGCCAGCCCCCCAAACGCCGCCGCCAGCTCGGGGTCGGCGGCGGCGGCGGCGTGCCGCATTCGGCCCTGCGAGGCGGGCAGGCGGGCGGGCGGGCGTTGGCAGGCGGCAGCGGGGTGGGCCGGGCAGGAGCAGGCAGGCAGGCGGGTGGGTGGCAGGCAGGCAGGCAGGCAGGCAGGGGCAACGTGGGGCGGCGCTGGCGGGGGCTCTCTGTGTCGCAAGCTCTTCTGCGGATGTGCAGACAGTACACACACACACACACACGCCCCTGCCCCTCCCTGCCCCGCCCCGCCCCCAAGGGCTGCGCCTGCGCTGGCGGCGGCGGCGGCGAACCCACCTGCGGCAGCCGGTTGGCTCCGGCCAGGCTGCGCTGCAGCAGTATGCGCGCCTCCAGCCCCCGCTGCCACACAGCCTTCTGCGCCTGCGGCGGCGGCGGGGCGGGGCGGGGCCGGCGGCGAGGTCGGGCGGCGCGGGCGGCAGGCAGGCAGGAAAGGCAGCCGGCAGCAGGTGGCGCGAGCTCCACCCCGCCGCCTGGCCGCTGCCTGCCAGGGCCCGCCGCCGCTCGCGGCGCAGGCAGCACCGCCTGCCAGCCGGGCCGGGCGGCCCGCGGCCGGCGGGGTGCACCCCGTCCCGCCTGTACCGCCGCCCCACCTGTACCGCCAGCGCTTTCTTCCTCTCCCTCGCCGCCCGCTCCTTCAGCCCCGCCAGCGCGCTCTGCTCATCCTGCGGTCAGCAGCGGCAGCGGCGGCAGCAGCAGCATCGGGAGCAGCAGCGCAGCAGCAGCAGCAGCGGCAGCAGCAGCAGCTGAACAAGGGCGCCGCGCGCCGGCGGGTGCAGGGGCAGCAGGCGGCGGCGGCGGCCGCGCAGGCCGGCCGCGCCTTCCCCAGGGCGGGGCACACCCCTGCGTGCCTCCCCCCATCCACTGCCTGCTACTCTCGCTCCACCTCCGCCATATCATCCCCCGCCGCCGCCGCCGCCGCGGCCGCCGCGGCCGCCGCGCCGCTGCCGCCGCCGCCGCCCTCGCTGTCGGAGCCGCTTTCAGAGTCGGATGCAGCTGGCCGGCGGCGCGGCGCCGCCACGGCGCTCGCGCCCCGCCGCCGCCGCCGGCCGCCACCTCTGGGCCTTCCTTCTCCTCCTCGCCGCCCTCGTCGCTGCCGCTGCTGGTGGCGCCGGCGGCGGCCGCGTCGCCATTCAGCCAACCCTCCTCCTCTCTGGCCTCGTCCTCCTCCTCGCTCCCAGGCTCGCTGCTGCCGCCGTCCCCACTGCCCGCTCCTCCCTCCTCCTCCTCTTCCTCCTCCTCCTCCTCCTCCTCGCCGCCGCTGCCGTCGGCGCCAAACACCGCCGCGCGGCTGCTGGCCCGACCGCCGTACTCCCGCCCTTCAATCAGGAGGTCGCCCCGCAGCCGCCGCGCCTCCCTGCCTCGCCTGCACCACACGCCGCGAGGCAAGGGAGTCAAGACACCGCAAAAAAACGCAAAGCGGCGCGCCGGGCAGTGGGCACGCCAGCCGCGGCATGCCGCTGCCGCTGCGGTGCTTGCAGCCGCGCGCACGCTGTCGAATTGTTGAGGAGTTTTCGCGAGGGGCGGCGCGGGCCTGGTGGGCATGCCCCGCGCAGCCAGGCGATCCACCCACCTGCGCGACGCGGGCTGCTGCTGCTCAGGCTCATCCTCGCTTTCTTCCAGCGCAGGCCCCGCCCCAAACACGTCCGCCTCAGGGTCAAACTCTGCGGTCAGTAAGGGGTCAAACAGGAGGCGGTGGAGCGGGAGGCAGCCCAGCAGGGCAGCGGCGGCAGGGAGGCGGCGTCCCGGGCGAGGCAGCGGCGGCAGGCGGCGGCAGGCGGCGGCAGGCGGCGCGCCTTTGGTGGGCGCCGGGTTGAACAGCTCGGCCAGCTCATCGGCTAAGCTCTTCCTTTTGGGCATGCCGGCTATCAGCGCGTGGAGAGGCCGCCGTTTCTCAGCTCGATGCCGGCCGGCCGAAGGCGGTGCCCGTGATGCGCTAGAGACGGTAGGATAGCGGGACCCAAGTAGAAAAGCGCGAAAGACGGAGGACAAGGGACGCAGCCGAGTGCGCCTAGCAATGCATGCGTCGGTGCAGGTTCCCCAGCCTGGCGCAGAGGCTATGCTGATGTGCCGGTGCAAGACCAACGCAAACGATGTGCATGCAGGCGCATTCGATGCGACACCCATGGCCGTGCTGCGCCTGCTGGCCACCACTGCCGCCGCTGCTGCCCTTCACATCCCGTCCCTCTCGAGTGACTCACCCCCTCGCCCCAGCAGCCGCAGCAGCGGCAACTTTAAAATTCGACTCATAACACTGCCACCGCGCATCGCATCTGCAGCAGCACAGGCCTATAAAGTGGCTTCACGCTGGGTGGGTGGAAAGGGCTGGGGGAGGATGGGTGGCATAGCAACACATGCCAAAGAGAGGAGCGAATTGAGCGACACACAATGCATGGATGAGGGAATGGAGATGCAAAAGAAGGGATCCGACATACCAAAGCAGGGCAGGCATATCTGGGGCACGGGAGAGGAAAGTTGATGGATTTTGAATGACAGACAGGCCGTGCCACGGGGTCTGCCGCTGGGGCCGCTCAGCATGCACGAAACGCCAGGCTGCTGGGTGGCGCCCCGTTCCCGGGCTGGCCTTGCGGGAGCAGCATCTCGCCACGCATATCCAGCCAGCACAGCGCATTGCGCCACGACAACTGCGGTCAGTGACAGATGGGGGCGCCGCCGCCGGCTGTGCGCCCGGCAGGCTGCAGCTGGGCGCAGGCAGCTAAGCAGCACAGCGCCATGCTGCACCGCAGGCGCCCCCGCACCTGCCTGCTTCATTCGGCGGCCTCAGCGGCGGCCGCTTGCAGCTCCAGCACCGGCGGCCACTCGCCCGCATGACGCCAGCAAGCGGCGTGGTCCCGGCAGGCAACTGCAAGCCCTTGCACGCCCTGCCCTGCCCGGCCGCTCACCAAAGAACTCGCGCCACAGCTGCTGCAGCACCGGCTGCACGCCCAGCCCCGGGGGCACCGGGAAGTCGGGGCTCCCCACGACCAGCCCCATGAGGAAAGCGGGCAGCCCCATGAGGAAAGCGGCACCGCGCCGGGTGCCGCAGTCGGCCCAGGGATGCCGGCACGCTCAGCAGGCAGGCTTGGTAGGACATGAGCGCCGCCGCGAAGCCCAGCCGCGCAGGCCCGCGCCACCAGGCCATGCCTGCAGCGCACGGCGGGCGGCGCGGCATCGGCGTCGGTGCCAGGCGGGCGCCTGCCTCCAGGCTGGCGCTGCCTGGCAGGCTGGGTGCGCGGGTGCGGCCTCGCATGCCACAGTGGGGGCCAGCAGGTGGGGACACAGGCCAAGCACGCCGTGGCGGCAATAGTAGAGGGGGTTGGTGGAGAGTGCCATGCTGGCCAGCGCCGCTACCGAGACCAGCAGCAGCTCGCTGAGCAGGCAGGGGCCGCTGGCCGCCACCCGCCGCGCCACCCACTGCACGATCCCCGCCCAGGCCAGCACGCCGCCGCCAGCGACCGCCGCCAGCTGGGCGTCGGTCGGGGCGGGCGCGGGGGCGGCCGCGTCGGCGCATCAGCAGCGCGGGGGCGAGCGGAGGTTGAGCACAAAGGCGAGGGAACCGGAGCAGCCCAGGAAGGCCAGCGTCGGGACCCGCCTCAGCGCAATGCTGTTGGATGCGCACCAGGCGGCGCACCGCGCGGGCAGCGCGCGCCACCAGCGCAGCCCCGGCACTGGGGCGGGCACCCCCCCGAGCAGGTCAGCCGCCGAGCCTCATTCCCCGCATAGATGCCGATCCCAAGGCCTGCGCCCTGCACTGCGTGCGCCATGCCGATCTGCAGGGGACGGCGAAGGCATGGCTGGCAGGTGGGGGCTGCAGCAGGCACAGCTTGCTGTGCTGCGTTGGCGGCGGGAAACCACCCTGGCGGCGGCGCGCACCGCCCACCGCTGCAGCCCCGCCGTGCAACGCCTGGGGCCTGAGTCGCCTCCCTCGAAAGACACGCAGCTGCAACCGCTTGCCAAGGCAGCCAGCGAGGGGGTTGAGGGCGAGCTTTCTTGCCCAGCAACCTCGCAGGCCACAGCAGCCTCCCCACGGCTCCAAGCCCGGCTCAGGCAGCCCTCCTGGCCCTCCAGCCCATGCTTACCGGTCGGGTCTGCCTCGGCGGGGCAATCCTGGACGTGCTGGGCGATCGGGGCTGCAGAGAGCGGCTGTGCTTCTGTGCGGGCAGAGGGCCGCTGATAGGGGCAAGGGGTGGATGTGCCAGTGCCATTGGCGGCTGGGTCAGATTGGCCCGGCAACGCTCGCAGCATGCACCGCCACCCCGACCTATCTTCTGACTGAACACGCTGATTACATTCGATTGAGCAGTTTATGCCATTGCTGGTGCCCACACAAAGCAGGTGGGCAAGCAGGGGCAGGGCTCATCCTCGGGGAGGCCGGCAGGCGGCGGCGGGCGGGCGCCTCTGACAACTCAGCACGCCCATGCATGAGCTCTTAGGCCTGGATTTCGCTCCATCTTGCACAACGCCCCCCAACGGAGCTAGGCCAGCCTTCGCCCAGCCCTCGCCTGCGCGATGCAGTGGCTGGCAAACGTGTGCAGCGGCCTGGCCGGCCTGTTTGAAGCCCAGCCGCGTGCACCTGTACCTGGGAATGCAGAGCATTGGGAGCTGCGTATGGTAGTGCGCCAAGCAGTCCGCGAGGAGCGGGCGAAGTCGCCCTGGAGGGCAACGAGACCCGCAGCGCTTTCGTGACCTGTGCGTTCAGAGCCTCCGGTTCAGCATAGAGGCTTGCGAGGTGCGGGGGTTTGGGCTGCTGCTGCACCATCATGCCCCCGCCACAGCCCGGCTGAGCACCGCCCCCGCTTGCCCCGCGTGCGCACTGACTCGATCGACGCCCATCTTCCCTCTTCCTGTGCAGTTCCAGGCCTCAGTGCTGAATGCACGTTCTCGTGACTGGCTGGCAGCCGTCGGCCATGCACAGTGCTGTTTGGGCAGTGACCGCGCAGCACGGCGGGTGGCTGCCTCTTGCGCGGCCCGGGCTGTGTTTTACCGCACGCAGCTGCGGCAGCTACACGAGAAGCTGAGCGCGGCCCTGGAGCGCCGCCCGATCAGGCTTGTGGCAGAGCCCACCTGGAGCTTCCTGAGGGGCAGTGGAGGAGATGCGGGGCGTGCCAGCCATGGACCTGTGTGCGGCCTGCCATAAAAACTTGGACCACGTGCCACTCAGCGAGTTGGGAGTCGTCCGTTCACACAGAGTGTTACTGTGGCGGCAATGAGTGTTGGGACTGGCTGCAGGCCGCGGGTAGCGACAGGCAGGGCACGATTTGGGGCGGTATGCACGCATGGCTTCAGTGGCAACGATCTGAGTTGTCTCGCTTCATTCCTGGCGCCTGTCTGCTTGCCTGGTCCATACAGCCACACTGTGCTAATCGGGTTGCACCTGTTTTCCGCCTACACTGCATTGCTGCCTGCAGATAGAGACTGCGGAGGAGCTGTTGCGGCAGTACGAGCAACAGTGGGTTGATGAATACCGCACAGCGGGGCTGCTGCCTGGGGAGGCGGCTGTGGCAGCAGCTCCCGAGCAGCAGCAGGCCAGCTGGTGCGGAGGCATCGGCGGCGGCAGCCAAGGAGGAGCAGCAGCAGGCGGCGCCGGCCTCAGACACGCCCACAGGCGTGCTGGACCTGCAGCAGCGCCTCCAGCTGCGGCGCTCGTCGTCGGAGGAGCACGAGGTGGAGGAGGCGGCGGGCGGCGAGCAGGCGGCGGCGCTGCCAGAACTTGAGCAGCGGCAGGGGACTGCTGCTATTTCCGAGCTGTTGGCAGGAACAGATTAGTCTGTGGCCGATCCATGCGCGATGTGCATTAGCAGGAGGTGCCACATCATCCATGCCCTTTGTGTTTTCTGTTTCACATTCCAGCCTGTTCTGCAACAAAGCGGTACCGCCGTTTGCAGCTGGTAGATTGGTGCAGGCTTCATGCGCAAGTCGTGCCGCCGCCTGCCATCCACAGACCGCTGCAGGGGTTCCCGTAGCATCTCCTGGGGTACCTTGGCAGCAAAGAATCGGGGCAGCGTGGGTGGGATGCAGATGGGCTTGGCCCAGGTGAGGGTCGGCTGCCGGTGCCGCTAGCGGTATTGCGACCGCCAGCTCGCTGTCAACACCATGTGCGGTCAGCTGGTGATGGCGGCGCTCGTCCTCATGTATGGATAGCGAACACCAGGTTTCTACTACAGATCGGGATGCGCAGAGGAGGCCAGAGGACGCTGCCGAGTGCGCTTGCGTTGCCTTGCGTCGCTGCACGCCCCCCAGCCTTTCACAGAGGCTGTGATGGTCTACAGGTACGCAACGGCAACGCAATGCGTGTGCATGCAAGCGCATTCGATGCGAAACCCCCATGCCCCTGCTGCGCCTGCTGGCCACGTTGCATTCCTTCGCGCCTCAAGCGCCGCAATGGCATGCGCGATGCAATGCCTTCCACAGCGCAGGCGCCTCAACATGGAGGCAGGCCGCCGCACACCCGCCACAGCACCCCATGTGACTCGGTAGCCGGCTCAGAAGCTTCAGCGATGCGTGCAGATCCATTGAAAGCAGCCGTCGCAGCAGGCGGCGCAGCAGCCGGCGCTCCTGCAGGAACCGCCGCTCAAGCGCCGCCGCCCTCGCTGCCTCCCGCCGCTCAAGCCCAGTGCAGCGCCAGCCCTCCCTTGCCCCAGCAGCCGGCGCTCCGGCAGGCGCAGCAGGCTGCACAGCAGCAGCTGCAGCTGGCGGCGCTCCTGCTGGAGCGCGGTCGCTGCCAAGAGGCGCTGGCGGTGCTGCAGCCGCTGCTGGCGCGGCAGCCCGGCGACGCGCGGGCACTGTGCCTTCAGGGCCGCTGCCTGGCGGCTGCGGGCAACCGGCCGCAGGTGCGGGGCCGCGGGCGCAGGGCAGGGCAGCGGGCGGGGTGCTGCTGCCTGCCGGGGCGCGGCGCGCCAAGCCGGGCTTGCCCCTCGCCGCGCCGACAACGCCGGGATCCCCCACCCCCACCCATCTGCCCTCGCTTGTCTGGCCCATCTGCACCGACAATCGCATGGCGGCACACGCCCCCGCGCCCGCAGGCTCTCGCGGCGTTTGCGGCGGCGCTGGCCGAGGCGCCCGGCTGCCTGTCGGCGCTGCTGGGCTGCGCCGCCGTGTATAAGGACTCTGGCCTGCTCCCAGAGGCGGTGGCGGCGCTGCAGCAGGCACAGGCGCAGGCTGTGCAGCGGCCAGCGGCAGACGCGCCCCCGGCGGCGGCGGCGGGCGACGGCGGCGTGGCAGGAGGCGCGGGCCCGGCGGCGGCGGCGGCGGCAGCAGCGGCCCCAGAACCGGCAGACCCGGCAGCGGCAGCAGGGGCAGCATCAGCATCAGCGACGGCGGCGGGTGGGAGCGACGCAGGGTGGGGGGCCACCGCCGGGCGGGCAGCAGGGGCGCCTGCCTCGGTGGCAGACCGCATGCTCTGCTGCAGCGGCGCTGATGTGGCGCAGGCACTGGCAGTGGTGCTGACAGACTTAGGTGCGCCGCCTGCCTGCCCCCGCCTTGCCTGGCTGGCGGTACCGGCATGGGGTGGCATGGGGTGGGCTGGGGTCTCCACCTGGCGGCGCCTTGGGAAGCCGGCCGCCGTTGGCTTTGGTTGCCTGGCTAGCCGAGGGCTGGCTGCTGGGGTTGGGGGCGGCAGCAGGTGGGAGAGGAGGAGGCGGCGCGGGGGCGGCGGGCAGGCCGAGCGGGACCAGCAGCTTGGGAGCAGGCTGGAGGCAGCCACCCGCCCGCCTGCCCGCCCGCACGAAGGCCCGGCGCCCGGCCAAGCCACCGGCGCAGCGAAGCGGCCAGTCGGTGCCGCGCCGCCGCCGAGCCGCCCGTTCCGCTGCCGCCGCTTCGCTGACGCCCTTCGCTGCCCCGTCGCTGCTGCACCACTGTTTGTTTACTGCCGCCCTGCGCCGCCGCCGCTTCGCTGCCGCCGCTTTGCTGCCCGCATGCAGGCACGCAGCAGAAGCTGGGCGGGCAGGCCGGCTGGCGGCGGCAGTACGAGCGGGCGGTACAGGTGGCCCCAGCCTACGCCCCTGCCCACTACAACCTGGGTGAGCAGGGCAGCAGGGCAGCTCCTGTGTGGTGTGTGTGTGTGTGTGTGTGTTTTGTTTTTGGGTGCGTGCATGCGTGTGCGTGCGTGTGTGTGTGGCGTGTGGCGTGCCACATGGGAGGCTGTGGCGCTGGCAGCGGGGCTGCCGCGCCCCGCAAGCGGCATGCGGGGCGGTCCTCGCGCCGCTCCCCCTGCTCCCTGCCGGCCTCTCGTGGTAGCTGCCATGCAGCTGCCGTGCAGTACCATGCCAGGCGGGCACGCGATCCACTCCCACCATAGGGATTGCACGCCAGCACCAGCCCCACACCCACCCGCCCTGCCCTGCACCCGTGCCTGCGCCCGCCGCCTGCAGGCGTGGCGGCAGGGGAGGCTGGCGAGGCGGACGAGGCAATAGAGCACTACCGTACCGCGGTGGGTCAGCCAGCTGCGGCGGCGGCTTACCGCTGCAAACACCCCGCTTGCGTGCCGGGCTGCGCCGCCGCTTGCCTGCCGCGCTGGCCTGGCTGCCGGCAAGCGGGCCCGGGGCCGCGGGGCAAACCCCTTGGCTGCAACCCGGCCCGCCGCCCGGAGCACACACACACACACACACACACACACACGGCTGGCGCGCAGGTCGGCCTGTCGCCGCGCTATGCAGAGGCCTGGTGCAACATGGGGGTCCTGTTCAGGCAGCAGGTGGGCGCCTCCTTTCCTCCTCGCCCCTGTTGCCTCGCCGCTGCGGCCAAGGCCAGGGGGTCAGCAGTACGGTACGGAGGCTGGGAGGTACAGCACGTTCCGTAAGTGCCTCCTCCAGTCCCCTCCCCCTCCCCCTCCCCCTCCCTCTCCCTCTCCCTCCTTGCAGGGCCAGCTGGACCGCGCCATTGCCGCCTACGAGCAGGCCCTGGCGGCGGCGCCGCACCTGGAGGTGGTGCAGCTGAACCTGGCGGTCGCGCTGACGGAGCACGGCACGCGGCTCAAGGCAGCGGGTGGGTGGGGCCGGTGTTGGTTTGGGTGTCTGGGGTGGTTTCGGTGCTGGTGTGGCTGGCGTGTGTGGGTGTCTGGGTGGTTGCGGTGCTGGGTGTGGCTGGTGTGTGGGTTGGGGTGCTGCTGGGGGGTGGTTTGGGGTGCTGGGAGGCGCCTGCGTGTGCGCGTGTGTTGGGGGAGTGCCTCCCCCTGCCATGCCATGCCCCGACCGGCGCCCTGAGCCGCCCCCCGTCGGCACGCCCCCCGCCCGCCCCTGCCTTCCTGCCCCTGCAGGCGAGGCGGCGGAGGGGATTGCCGCGTACGAGCGGGCGCTGGCGCTGCAGCCGCGCCACGCAGAGGCTCTGTACAATTTGGGGGTGGCTCGCGCCGAGCAGGGGCAGGCCGACAGGGCGCTGTTCATGTGAGCGCCGCGCGTGGACCTGTGTGCTTGTGTGGGGGGGGGTGCCTGTGCGTCGCACTCGGTGTGTGCGCGCTGAGAGCGCCGTTCGTGTGGGGGGTGCGCGTGTGTGTTCGTGTGTTCGTGTGTGCTTGTCTGTGTGTGTGTGTGTGTGTGTGTGTGTGTGTGTGTGTGAGAGAGAGAGAGAGAGAGAGCTGTGCGGGGCACATGGGTGTGAGCCGGCGCATGGGGCAGCCGCCGCCCTGCCGGGCCTGCCCCTCGCCTCGTGCTTGCTTCCATGCCCGCCGCCAGCTGCGCCCCGGCTTCCGTGCAGGTACCAGACGGCCCTGCTGGTGCAGCCGGGCTGCGCGGAGGCTCACAACAACCTGGGTGAGAACGGTACCATCTGCAGTACCAGTATCGGTACCGTGTGCAGACGTCGCAGTGCCCTTCGGCGGCGGGGTCTCCTTTGTGTGCCGCCTGCCTCCTGCCACAGCTGTTGCCCTGCTCTTGTGCGCCTGGGGAGCTGGCATGCAAGTTCACGCCCTGCTGGGTTCGTGCGGTACCTCTGGCTGCAGGGGTGCTGTACCGCGAGCAGGGCAACATGGAGCGGGCGGTACAGTGCTACCTCGCCGCCCTCAACGCGCGACCCAACTTCCCGCAGGCGCGCCCCGGCTGCCGCCTGCCGCGCCAGCAGCTGCCCAGCGGCCGGGGCAGCGTAAGCAAAAGCGGCCGGCCGGCAGCGAGGCCGTCTCGCCGTCGCTCCGCTTCCCTCCCAGTCGCCAACTGACCTCCCCTCCCCCATCCCATGGGCTGAATCTCTGCAGGGCCTCAACAACCTGGCTGTCATCTACACGCAGCAAGGCCGGGCACAGGTGGGGGGGCGCTCGACCTTTCTTTCCCTCCCGTGCCATGCCGTGCCCTCCCTCCTTGTGCGCCCGCGATGGCGCCTTGCTGGCGCGGCACCTTGTCCTGTGCCTCTTGCACTGCTGCTGCCTTGCGTTGCGTCGAGGGCTGCTGACCGCCGCCTGCCTGCTGCCTCGGCTCGCGGCGGCTGCGGTCTGCAGGAGGCGCTGCAGCTGCTGCAGGCGGCGGTGATGGCGGCGCCAACCTATGCAGAGGCGTACAACAACCTTGGAGTGCTG